CAAAAACAAAATGTTTTGTCAATTTTTTACGATTGTAACATTTTTCAAAGGGCAGATGTCAATCTCTTAGTGTCTTGCGCTGGTTGAGGGCTGATACCCTTAACTTTAGGAGGGTTCGACTCGGGTTGAGCTCTGATCTAGACTCTGATGGCTCTAAGTCGCCCACATTGGCCTCATTCCGGCATCTGAAGGCTCATTCTGGCTTCGGAAAGCCCAACACCGGCAACAGAGTGAACCACGCTGGCCTGCGGGCCCCATAATGGCCTCAGTAGACCCATGCTATGGCTGACCTCATACCCCCCCGCCGGCTCTTCGGAGTCTTTGAGTCAGTCTGAGGACCCTATACCGCTCTCGAACGCACGCCGGTCCCTAGAACCCCATGATGCCCCCTGAGGGTCCCACGCCGGCCTTTATAAGGGCCACTCCTACCTCAAGGGGCCCAAACATGCATAAGATCTGAAAATTGGTTGCCGAGGCCCTAGAGGTGGCCTCTAATGGCCCGACGCCAGCCTATGAAGGCCCGCGCTGGCTTCTGAGGGCCCAGCACCAGTCTCTGAAGTCTGAAGTCAGATGACAGATGGCCCCACGCTGGCCGCAGATGGTTCACGCTGGTCACAGAGTGCCCAACACTGGCCTAAAGGGGCTCCGCATTGTCTTCGGAGGGCCCCAAGCTAGTCTCGGTGGCCAATGGGCCTCAATCTGACCTAAGAAAGCCCCATGTCGCTGGGCTACCCCACGCTGGACATAGACGGCCCCATGCTGGACATAGAGGGCAAACACTGGCCTTACAAGGCCTCACACTGGCCTTAGAAGGCCCCACATTGGCCTTAGAAGACACCACAATGGCCTTAGAGGGCCCACGCTGGCCTTAGAGGGCTGAGCGCTGGCTCCTTAAGGCTCTACACCAGCCTCAAAGGATCCCACGCTCAAGTACATGTAAGCTTCTTTATGGCCGCCAAAGCGACCTCTGAGGGCCCACGCTAGCCTCTGGGGGCTCGGCCTTGGCCTCTGAGGGCCTATGAGCGCCATCAAATGGCATTTTAAGATAGTTTGACGCAGTTTGACTTTAGTTATGCTTAGGCCAGTACTTTGGATGAGGCCCTGAAGATATCGTTTCTCTTGGGACACTCAAGCAGGCATGTAGTACGTACCCAGGATTTCGCCCAGGAGGGGGCCGCCTGCTCTCAAAGGGGCCCACGGGTCACCCGGATGCCGCTGTCAACCCAGGCAGGGGCGTTTCCAGAACCTTTCGATGAGGGGATTGGGCACAGTGGGTCCGGTCCCCCCTTGCAGACGGGCCTCTCTGTCCGTCTGTCTGCCTGTCTGCCTAAGTCCTGAGAAAATGTGCAAAATTGGCAGGTAAAAATATCATTTCTTGCTTGAGAAGTATGCATAAAATGCTCGGTATTTTATGAGGAAGTGAAGCGAGCGAGCGCCTCAGAGTCACCTGTGTTAGTCCCTCAGAGGTGTCGGTAAAAGGCTATCAGATGCGCTGGTGTGGGGTCCTCACAGGCGCCGTTGTGAGGGCCTTGGGGCTTAGAGACACTGGTGGGGGCCATCACTTAGGCGTGTGTGGGGCCCTGAAAGTTACTGGTGGCCCTTCATAGGCCGGCAAGGGACCCTCAGAGGTCGGTAAGAGGCCCTCAGAGTCGCTGGTAAGTGACCGTCAGATGCGCTGCATAGGGCCCTCGGAGGCGCCGGTGTGGGGGCTCTCAGAGCCGCCGAAGTAGGCCCTTAAAAGGCACTGGTGAGTGGTGTGGGGCCCTTAGAGGTGGCAGTGGAGGCCCTCGCAGGCGCCGTTGTGAGGGCCCTCAGAAACACCGGTGTGGGCCGTGGGGCCATAGCAAACGGGTATGAGGCCCTTACAGCTGATCTCTCATTAGCCTTCAAGGACCCTCAGAGGCCGGCAAGGTCCCTCAGAACCTGGCGTGAGGCCCCTCTGGAGATAAGTGTGGCTACAGAAAAGCCCATGGGGTGTTCTCACAAGCCCTGTGGTCTCCTTTCCAGTTGAAGCGTTGCCAGCGCGGGCCCTCTGCCGCCAATTGGCACCGCAGGTCCTCTCGGGCCCGAGGGGACCCTAAACCCTATAACGGACACGTGCCCCCTCGCCCCTGGCCATACCATTGAATCCAAGTGATCACGGGCCGTTCAGGTAATCAGGGGCCTCTCAGATGACCAGGGGCCTTTCAATTGACCAGGGCCTTTCAATTGACCAGGGGTCTTTCAATTGACCAGGGGACCCTCTGATAACCAGGGAACGGTTATACCAGGGGCTTCACGGGTAACTAAGGGCCTTAATGTGACTGCAGGGGCTCTTCATATAACCAGGTACTCCTGGGGTAAACATGGGCCCTTCAGGTGACCAGGGTTTCTTCAGACCACTGGCCAGGGGTCACCCAGGGGATCAGGGGCCCTCAGGTAGCTAGGGGCCCTTTAGATAGCTAGGGGCCCCTCAGGTAACCAGGGACCCCTCAGATAACCAGGGGTCCCTCATATAACAAGAGGCCCCACTGGTAACCAGGGGCTTCTCAGAAAATCAGGGGCTCTCAGGCAATCACGAGCCCCTTAGGTAATCAGGGGCCCCTCAGGTAAGCAGGGGCACCTCAGGAAACCAGGGGCCCCTCAGGTAACCATGGGCCCCTCAGATAACAAGGGCCACTCAGGTTACCAGGGCCCCCGTAGCCAGGGGCCCCTCAGGTAACCAGGAGTCCTTCAGATAACCAGGGTCCCCTCAGATAACCAGGGGCCCCTCAGATAACCATGGGCCCCTCAGATAACCAGGGGCCACTCAGGTAACCAGGGACCCCTCAGCTAATCAGGGACCCCTCAGGTGACCAGGGGGACCCTCAGGTAACCAGGGCGCCCCTCAGGGCCCCCATGGCCCCCCTTGGGTACGTCACTGCACTCAAGTGACCCAAAGGGCCCACTTGCATGTTTGATGCCAAAGGGGGAGGCCATGGCCTCTTGGCCTCCCCCCTGGATACGCCACTGTCTGCTAATGCAGTTTCTTGGCTTACACAGTACGCACACAAGCATACATACTTCCTGCCCTTGGTCATTCCTCACTTGAATGAATATTTTGCTATAATAACTATTCCAAGCAGTTAACAGGTTTAAGTGCAGTGCCAAGTCGGAACCGTTCAGCGCCGCCAGTCTCCCAGACGGCGCGTAACGGGCGCCGCCGGCCGCCGCGCCGCCGCTCTGGCAGGGTGTTTGACTTCATATCTCTGTTGCTAGAAAAGTTGTGGACCGATTTACATGATTCTTGCATGAAAAGATCCGCCATTCAATTCTTAGCAGATAACGAAAATTTGACCTCAATTGCACGATCCGCTGCCCATATTGTGGTGCTGCCATCTGTTGACAAGGCTGGCGAACTAAAGCCGGGAGGCTATTTCCACTTTTGACACACCATGGATTTTTTCATTGTCTCCGTTGGGTACATTTATATTTATTCGGTCTACCAAACTGTCAGTTCCGACTCTTCTTTGATCTTACCAATAAATAGTCCTTTACTTGGCATGAGAAACACCATGAACGTATTTTTTTTCAGTTATATATTTCACGGTCTTGCTATATGTTATCGATACTTTTTGTATTGAATGTACTTGTCCGACCATTTTTGTTTATTTTGCCGTAGACATTGCTACCACTCTGTCTGTATGATAAGGTGATCGTTTCGTCTGTCATATATAATGATTTAATCGTTCATATTGTTTCAGGTCCGCCATCACCACCATCACCACCACCATCACCATCACCATCACCGCAACCAGCACCACCGGCTCCGGAATCAAGCCCGCCACCAGCCTCCGTGAGTACAGACGGGATATCGGCGGGCACTGTTGCCTGTTGCTTGTCTCTGGAAAAAAAAAACATTTGGCGTTGCTGAATGATGCAGAAACTATAAAAAACTAAAAATAAAAATAAGAATAAAAGCAGTGAAATATTTGATTTTTTCCATTGTCTTCGTTAGGTACATTGATATTTTTTCGGTCTACCAAACTGTCAGTTCCGACTCTTCTTTGATCTTACCAATAAATACCTAGTCCTTTAATTGGCATGAAAAACACCATGAATGTATTTTTTTCAGTTATATATTTCACGGTCTTGTTATATGTTATCGATACTTTTTGTATTGAATGTACTTGTCCGAACATTTGTGTTTATTTTGCCGTAGACATTGCTACCGCTCTGTATGTATGACAAGGTGATCGTTTCGTCTGTCATATATAATGATTTAATCGTTCATATTGTTTCAGGTCCGCCATCACCACCATCACCATCACCAGCACCGCAACCAGCACCACCGGCTCCGGGATCAAGTCCTCCACCAGCCTCCGTGAGTGTCTTATCATTGAATGCATCCTGAAACGTAAAACTTGTTCTTTCCGCATTGTTACATAGGATTTGTGGTCATTATTTTTTCATAATCAGATCGATAGGAATAACAAATAGTAATATTGATATCATTATACAACAATAATAACGGATTCCGTCAGGATTCTGTTGACCGTAGGGCTGGTTGAGTGGTGAATCCTCCGTATTTTATAGGAGTTCTATCGGTTTTTGGTCATTTTGTATTATCTCCCTTTCAGGTCATCTACCAGCACCACCACCAGCACCACCGGCCTCAACACCAAGCCCGCCACCACCAGCACCACCGGCCTCAGCACCAAGCCCGCCACCACCAGCACCACGGGCCTCTACACCAAGCCCGCCACCAGCCTCCGTGAGCCTCGTCAGCAATTGACCATAAAAGCTATATTTTTTATTTTAGTCGTAAGTTCGAGACACACTGATATTTTATTTTTCATCACCAAATTTATATCGATAGGCTATATATTTTCTTGTAACAAATATTTCATCAGGAATGCAGTGCTAATGAACGCAAGGGGTGTTAATAATAAAAGTGGCGCAATAATTTTCTTACAGTGAATAACAAGTGGAACACAACATGTGCTACTTCTTTTTCAGGTCATCTACCATCACCACCACCAGCACCACCGGCTCCGGGACCAATCACGCCACCAGCGTCCGTGAGTACAGACGCGATATCGGCGGGCACACTGTTTCCTCCTGTACGCACGTCTCAGTAGTTTGATATTTATCAAACAGATGGCTCTGGCATACAGCGCCTGAAGCATGCTGTACCACTCGACTCAGTAGTTTCTTATGTCGGCAACAGATGGCTCTGACATACAGCGCCTGAAGCATGCTGTACCGCACGACTCAGTAGTTTCTTATGTCGGCAACAGATGGCTCTGACATACAGCACCATGCTGTACCGCACGACTCAGTAGTTTCTTATGTCGCCAACAGATGGCTCCGGCATACAGCACCTGAAGCATGCTGTACCGCACGACTCAGTAGTTTCTTATGTCGCCAACAGATGGCTCTGGCATACAGCACCTGAAGCATGCTGTACCGCACGACTCAGTAGTTTCTTATGTCGGCAGCAGATGGCTCTGGCATACAGCGCCTGAAGCATGCTGTACCCAAGGCTCTATAGAAAGGTAGGCTGCTCCGGCCGCGAGAAGTGGCAACATGTATCAGCGCCATCTATGGGCGGGATGCGTAGACCACACTAGCGTCATCTATGGGCAGCGGGAGAACTACTGATTCGTGACGTCACAGATCACTCTGCGCCCGTCGGCTGCAATGCAACTAACGCTAAAATGCGTTTACTCCCGGTCATTCAGCTCAGCTAGCAGCTCACATTTTCACCAGACAGATCAGTGAGGAAAAATGAACCGTTAGAATTAACATAACAATCGGTACAGGTAAACGTTCCGCCTTACCTACCTCTTAGATATAGGTAAGTTTCCACCCATCTACCGGACACAATGGGTCTGTTCCAGTCTCACTTCCTAACGCATCTAAACTCCTCCAAGATTGCTTCCCTGTTCAAGTGGCAGCTCTAGCCCCTACAAAGTCAAGGAGGGCCCTGCTCCAACCTCCTCTATCTTGCTCTTGGAGTAGGTAATGCATTCGCCATAGCCCATCCGTGGCTGTTTCTCTTTCGCTATTTCAAAAGTTTATCGCAACTGGACCGTTTCTGATTCTAGATAGCATCGTAATTCACTAATGCGTACTGAATCGTGAAATGATAAATTTCATATTGTGTAATGTATACCTAATACCTATATAAAGCACTTGTAATATATAAAGCGCCTGAAACAGCGGTACAGTACAGATGCAGGGCCGTTGCCTGGCCGTGCCAGCCAACATTTTTGTTTTGTTTTTTTGTTTTTATGTGCGCAGCGCTTGTATACAAACACCTTAAGAAACAGTGCTACTTAAAATACCTATCGTTAACTAGCCATATTTCTTAAACCAAACCTCGCCGGACCTATTGGTTTTCTTCATACGCCCCGGCCGAGAGGGGAGGGGTTAGTTGTAAGTTGATAAGACTCGCCGTTTCGCCCCTGGTTGAGCTAGATTTTCGCGGAAAAGACAAACGTATGCGCCGTTACGAGACGCACTACGCAGCGATTAGTAGCTGATTTCAAGGCCTCAGGTTAACCGGTCACATCTGAGGTCCGGTCAAGTGGCCCAAGCTAAGTGTCAGTTTTTGGCAAACAACTTCGTCAGAAATGTTCACAGAGCCGCGATTTTGACAGCATCTTGTTTGCCTGGCTCAGGCACGTCGAATGGTATACATTTTGTTCGGTCGAGCTCAACCTAAAATGTTGACTTCGGGTGAAGGTCAGGTCAGAGCCCTTCAGGTCACCAAGTTGGTCGAAGGAGGTCATATCGCATAGGGTAGTGTGGGGTAATTTGAACATATTTTTACGTCTTCTCCGTTGTACCAAATTCCAGTTCAACCCTGGATGAAGAAAAACTGCTTCAGTAGCGCAAGTGGCACTTGCTTTCACCATGCAAGCCTCATTTTTGGACGAGCCTAGCATACCTTGAATAGCATAGCCTCACTTCTCCACCAAGCCACGGTGTGTTCAAATTGCCCCACCGTGGGGTAATTTAAACATAATGCCTTTACCTGTCATAAAAACGATAGTCTCGCCAGCACCGATGTTGTTTGACCCATAAACAAATAGGCAGAACAATTCTAAACATAACTTCACTTGAAAAATCAACACAACAGCAAAAATAACAGTTGCAGAGTAGCAATATCTGCACGCTGCACACCGGTCAGTTGACAGAATTCGCCCCTCTTCAATTAACAGAACGTCTATCATTTTTGTTCGATAAAAACTCTCCCAGCCGTACTACATCTGTTAAAGTGGTGCCAATCGAAACCTGGACACTTGGAGTTCTGATTTTGTCCAATGTCCAATTCGGAATTGGTTGGACAAAGGTAGCAGACTGGACAACATTGGACGATGGCTTGCTACACTTCAGCGCTTTTTATAAAGTAATCGTGCATAGCATTGATTGGCGAATGGAAAGCTTGTTAAGCTCTCAATATAATGAACACTTTTCGGCTGGTAAAATTACATGATAAGCAATATAAATGACGGTTTTGAGTGTTGATAGCTGCATAATTTTCGGACATATTTGGACAAATAGTTGACTTTAACATTTTTGGACGGAAAATCAACAAAAATGCCGGACATTAGACGGATATTAGACGTAACTTTTCTAAAACTGGCATCACTTATCTGCTACTGCCTTGGGTCGAAAATATTGGCAAAAAAAAACTGGGGGCGTTGTTTTTTTCGGAGCGATCCCTGTCTTCATTCAAATTCTCACACTATGTTCAAATTACCCCACGCTAAAAGTTATTTTGCCATTATAAAAAACAGGGTTCAAAAGCAAATTTCTTGGATTGAAGGCACTGATTAGGTCATTATACAACAAAAGCCGTTGCGTATTAGGCGCTAGCAATGCAAGATTTTGCGCTGCAATGAAGTTGCAATGACGTGTTGTTAGGCGTTTTTCCTTGCGAAATTGATTTTTTAAACTGTGCGTCAACATCTTCATTCCCTGAAACTTTAAACCCCGTTCATATGATAGCCCTTTTAGTTACGCTAATTTCTCCCATTGGTCTTATTGTCATGCCACTTATGGATTTTCCGTAATTTTCTGTTATTCACACTATGTTCAAATTGCCCCACATGTTCAAATTACCCCACCCTACCCTATCATTCGATTCGACAGGTGTTCCCGAGTCCATTGGTGGGTTTCCGTACTCCGCTACGCTAGCTCAATTTGATCAAGAGCTATTGACGAAAAACTTATGACCTTATCGACGTCATAAATGACGTCACACAAGGTCAGCAATACAAAAGTGTAGCATCGGATCGTGTGCATGAAGTCACGGTTCTGTGTGCTTGACATAGTTCTGGATCATTGCCGGCGCCATCCGGCGATGCTCCATATTTACATATCGTATCCATATTTTCCCATCGACTTATAATGGCGAGGTCACGTCATGGTGAGGACTTGACCTCAGGTGACCCTTAGGAAAAATCCAAGACATACAAGCTGTAAGACCTCTCATGGATACTAGGTCCTGTAAGTTCATCTCCCTGTGAAAGCTCCTCGGCTCTTGTGCACTGTGAGAGCGCTGCGAAGTCACGACATTGTGGGGCCGTGCAGAGGTTCACTTATGACGTCATAGACCCGAAACTGACTTGACCCGAAAATGCAGTTGGTGTCAAAAGATCCGGCTTGAAGGAAAGACCAGGTAGGCCAAGTTTTGCCTCTCTATCGCCGGCGTGTTCCGAACTATCGCGAAAAACCCATGGGAGTGGGGGCGGCACCCGTCTCCCCCTTCGGCCGGTGAGGGTTAGATGGACGACATTGAAAACACATAAATTAAGGCAATAACATAAAAATCCAACACATAGGCAAGAAGTTGCTTGTGTCTTCCGGACGAACATCAGTTTGATCATTGATGTATGAGACTTGTTTTCTATTCGTGGTAACTGCGATTCGGTACCTTATTCGTTCGGCACTGGTGTTAGCTCGACGTTCAATACGCTCTAAATCGGACAAATGCGTTAACGAATGGAAAGTTGATGTGTAGCAGCCACGAGAACGACCTCAATTGTACCAAAATAAAGAAAAAGACCTTACGTGACACTCAAAGTAGGAAAAAACAGGTGCACAATATTCCCCTCCATTGACTATAACACTATCGGCCTTCGGGCAGAGTGATCTGTGACGTCACCATATTAGCTCCGCCCTATTTACAGCCGTCAGCCAATCAGCGCGCCGGCCGCTGTCCAACGGCCTTGAGCCAGCCTATTGCCAGTTTTTGATAGCGGAAAAGCACGGGAGCAGACCCCCCTGGCTCCCGCACGACTCAGTAGTTTCTTATGTCGGCAACAGATGGCTCTGGCATACAGCACCTGAAGCATGCTGTACCGCACGACTCAGTAGTTTCTTATGTCGGCAACAGATGGCTCTGGCATACAGCGCCTGAAGCATGCTGTACCGCACGACTCAGTAGTTTCTTATGTCGCCAACAGATGGCTCTGGCATACAGCACCTGAAGACTGCTGTACCGCACGACTCAGTAGTTTCTTATGTCGCCAACAGATGGCTCTGGCATACAGCGCCTGAAGCATGCTGTACCGCACGACTCAGTAGTTTCTTATGTCGCCAACATATGGGTCTGGCATACAGCACCTGAAGATTGCTGCGCCGCAGGTCTCAGTAGTTTCTTATGTCGCCAACAGATGGCTCTGGCATACAGCACCTGAAGACTGCTGCGCCGCAGGTCTCAGTAAATACATAGGGAAGACCACCACCAGCCTCTGAGAGCTCGGACACGATGTCATTGGGCACACTGTCGTCCGTGGCTAGTTTCTAGCAAAGGAACGCTTGACGTTGATAATTGATACACAGACGAAACAAATGGAATAATTTGATCCGTCATTGTCTTGGATACACTTTTTAAGATTCGATATACTTAACTGTAAATTGCGACTCTTCTTTGCTGTTTCTAATAGTCCTCTATCTGTGTGAAAAACAGCATGAACCTGTATTGTATTGACAATTGCTGACAACCCCACTTCACTCATTGTGGCTATTCTGTGTCACAAGTCAAAAGATAAAACGATCAACGGGAAATATGGTTAAGGGGTAAAAACAGGCACACAGTCAAACAACACTCATACGTCAGAAAATGCTAACTCCGTCCACCCTCCCCACCCCTATTGCACACCACCGACTTGACTGCTCGCTTAACCCTCGCCGGCCGAGGGGGGGGGGGCGGGTGCCGCCCCCCCCCCCATAGGGTTTTTTCGCGATATCTCCGAACACGCTGGCGATAGAGAGCTGAAACTTGGCATACCTGACCTTTTATCCAAGCCGCATCTTTTGACACCAACCGCATTTTTGGGTCAGGTCAGGTCACTGACCTATGACGTCATAAGTGAACCTCTGCACGGTCTTCAGATGTCGCAACTTCGCAACGCCCTCACTGCCAGAGGAGATGTCACAGGGAAATGAAACTAGCAGGATCTAGTATCCATTATGAGTCTCACAGCTTGTATATCTCGGATTTTTCCTAAAGGTCATATGAGGTCAGGTCATTTTCGTGACCTCACCATTATAAGTCAATGGGGAAAAATTCAAACTGCTATTCTGGCGCCGGGAACGATCTCCAACTATCTCAAGCACACCGAATCGTGATTCGATGCATTCCTTGCAAGGTTAGATGCGTCACTTTTGCAATGTTGACCTTCCGTGACGTCATTTATGACGTCATCAAGGTCATATTAGTTTTTCGTCAATAACTCCCGATCAAATTGAGCTAGCGAGTCGAGAAAGCCACCAATGGACTCAGGAAGACCTGCCGAATCGAATGATATGCGACATGACCTCTTTCGACCAACTTCGTGACCTGGGGGTGCTGACCTGACCTTGACCTGAGGTCAACACCCTAAGTTGACCTGACCCGAACAAAAAGTATACCATTCGACGCGCCTGAGCGAGGCGAACACGATGCTGCCAAAATCGGCGCTCTGCGGCCGTTTTTTGCGAAGTTATTCACCAAAAACTAAACCGTACCCTGGGGCACTTGACCTGACCTCAGTGGTCACCGGTTGACCTAGGACCTTAAAATCGGGTACCAATCTCTGCGTCTCGTAACGGCGCACACGCTCGTTTTTTCCGCGACGCGCTAGCTCCACCAGGGGCGAAACGGCGAGGGGGGGGTCGTACCCGCCCCCCCCCCCTCGGCCGGCGCGTATGTAGAAAACCAATAGGTCCGGCGAGGGTTAAAGCGTGCCGGGTTCAGCTCCAATGTGCTCGCAGGCAGTTCGTTCAGGAGTGATGCGGCACGGTAGGTAAAAGACCGCTGGCCGGCGGCTGTACGCATGAGTGGAGGCCGCAGCCGCCGGTCCTGCCGGGTACCACGATCACAGCGCTGACGTGAGTCCACAAATGTCACAAACTGGGATGAGATGTCCGTGGGCTCCCCGCACACAATCGCCTTCTGAGCCACAGTCATGGTGGACACGTCACACATCAGTCGAGGGGAGATAAAACCAAGCTCCTCCCGCGCGCGAGACACATGGTCATACTTCCGCAGGCCAGTGACGACTCTGGTGGCGAAGTTAACCACGCTCATCAGTCTAGCGTCATTCTTGGAAGTGCCACAGCCATAAATCGCAATACAGTACCTCACGCGCGAGAGGACCAGGCCGTCAACCACCGTGCGCATCACATGCCGCGGGAGGAGATGCCTCAGGTGGCGGAGACCGATCAGGAGGCCAACACACTGACGGACAACAGCACTGACGTGGTCGTCCCAAGTCAGGTGACGGTCGAAAAGCACGCCAAGGTTTTTAACGGACGGGCTCTCCTGAACGGTCTCCCCACCGACCCGTACGCTGACAGGGGATAGGCCGCGGGTGTTCTGACGAGGGTGTTCTGTGTTTTCAGTTACAAATTTTACGGTTTTGTTATATTGTGTCGAAACTGTTTGTATTGCATATAAGTGTCAGAGCAATTTTGTTCATTTGCCGTAGACATTGCTACCGCTCTGTCTGTATGATAAGGTGATCATGTCAAATACAATAAATAAATCGCTTGTATTTTTTTCAGGTCCGCCATCACCACCGTCCCCAGCATCACCATCACCAGCATCAGCACCTCCACCAGCACCATCGGCTCCGGGATCAAGCCCGCCACCAGCCTCCGTGAGTGTCTGATTTTTTATTGAAACCTGAAAACGTAAAACTTATTCTTCTCGCTATGTTACATAGGAATTTTTTTCGGTAATTTCTTCTTATTAATCAGATCAATAGGAAGAATAATATGTATAATAAAATAAAACGCTTTAATAATAAAATATAATAATAAAACGCTGACAGCGGATTCCGTCAGGATTTTGCTGACCGTAGGACTGGTTGAGAGGTGAATCCACCGTATTTTATAACAGTTTCATCGGTTTGTGGTTAATTTGTATTTCTTCCCTTTCAGATCATTAACCAGCACCACCACCAGCACCACCGGCCTCATCACCAAGCCCGCCACCAGCGTCCGTAAGTGTCTTATCATCAATTGACCATAAAAGCGTAGATGTTTTATTTTGGTCGTATGTTCGAGACACATTGATATAGTTTGCTTTTTTATCATCATACCTATATCGATAGGCCATAGGGGAGAGTGGGGTGGGTTGTATCAGTTTTTACTTCGAGACCCATAACCTCGTAACTATCCGTGATAAACTCATTATTTCCATACTATCTCCTTCCTTGATTCTTCTGCTTTTTCGTGCCAAGTAACTTTTCCGTTACCTCTACCAGTTTTTCTTCTGCGGTCTGCCGAATAGAACAATGTTTTTGATACAACTTGCCCCTTGGCTTGGGTGAGTTGTATCACATGGTGGGGTAATTTGTATTACTATGTCACGTTTCAGGGTGTGTACTTGCTACTGGCTTTGAACATAACAACAACATTAAATGGGGTTAATACAAAGTATATGCTCAAAGGCTTCACTTTTATTGGACCAAACTTAGGTCAATGCAATCCGAACGAAACATCGAATAATGATCGAAACGTCAAACGAACGAAACATCAACAGACTAGACGCAAAAGTGACCCGTTAAGAGCAAAGAAGCCAACACATTGTGCCGAAATGGAACGAGTATTGACTAGCTATCTACAAACGCGAGCCAGGGCTTAGCTTTCGCGATCAAAAGCAACATACCCATACATACATACATACATAAATGTTACAACATACCCCACCCGGCTCTGATACAACATGTACCTCGCCGCCATCTTGGAAAAAACATCATCGTGCTCAAAAACAGCGGACAGCTGGAGAAATCCATTTTCACTCACGCAGCCTTAGAACCTACCCTCACCACCGCTACGGAGATCTTTCAAATTCGTGCACATGTAAATGCCCAAAACACACGTTTTCTTGCAACTTATTTTTTTTAGAATGACATTAAAAAAACATAAAATCGGCTCTCACCTCGAGACGCGTCCACCCAGCCACACGACAGAAGAGGGGAAGATTGCGCCCGGAAAACGTCGTCGGCTGGTCGTGTCACGAGCGCCATTTATTGGATAAGTTTGGCACAATTCGCCCTGATACAACTTGGACATGATACAACTCTCCCCGCTCTCCCCTACTTTGAATTGTACCAAATATTCAATCAGGAATTATAATTAGCGCAAAACGGGTTAAGAAAAAAGTGAACGCCATTTTTTCTTACAATGAATAACAAGTAAAACTCAACATGTGCTGATTCTTTTTCAGGTCATCTACCAGCACCACCACCAGCACCACCGGCCTCAGCACCAAGCCCACCATCAGCCTCCGTGAGTACAGACACGATATCGGCGGCCATACTGTCGCCCGCTGTACTCGTCAATAGGAAATAAAATATTTGGCAATTGTAATGAATGTTGATATAAAACAAGATTTATATTAGATGTTTTTTTTTTTCAAGTACAAGACGATCGGATCCGACTTTTCATTTTGTTATGAATGGTCGTGTTTCTGCGTCAAGTAAACACAATTATCATTTTTTGTTCTTTTTTTACAATATCTTTATCAAAATATAAGGAGAAATTGATACAATATATATATACCTAGCCCTATGTACCGTCAAAACAGTTTTCGTAACATAACATCTGTTGTGTGGTTAGTAGTTATATTGTATTTGTATGATATACGGCTCAAATTGGTCTCTAAGAACTTAATAAATGAAACGTTTGTATAATTTCAGGTCCACCACCATCACCATCACCTCCACCAGCACCACCGGCTCCGGGATCTCGTCCTCCACCAGCCTCCGTGAGTGGCTGATCTTTGAACCTGAAAACGAAAAACTGATTTTGTGTTATAAACAGGAGATTTAGTGAGTAATTTCCTCTTCATAATCAGATAAAGTGAAGTACTGTAGTCTTATATTTATTCAAATACTGATGACGGATTCTGTCAGGAAGCTTCTAATCGTAAGATGTGGTAAGGAAAGCAACCACCGTAATGTATTACCTATACATGCAGCAATCGGGATCAATTTATAATTTTATTCCTTCTTTTCAGACCATCAACCAGCACCACCACCAGCACCACCGGCCTCAGCACCAAGCCCGCCATCAGCGTCCGTAAGTGTCTTATCATCAATTGACCATAAAGGCGTAAACATTTTATTTTATTCGTAAATTGGAGACACATTCGTAGTTCCTTTCTCATCACAAAATGTAGATAGATGGGCCATACATTGTAGGTGTTGTAGCAAATAGTTTGTCAGAAATGCCCAAAAACGTAAGACGTGTTTAGCAAAGAAATTAGCCCTAGAACGCCTAGGGGGGGGGGGGTTGTATCAACCCCCCCTGAGGTTTTTTCGAAGTGCACGCTAAACGGCTTGTCGTAGCGGGCTGAAATTTTCAATACCCTCTGGGGCAACCTTTGCGCATCTTTTGCCGAAAAAAATTGATCGGGTCATGTCAGGTCACGGAGTTATGACGTCATAAGAGGTACAGCCTCCGGCCGACAGTTACCAAACGTGTGCGCCGATTCCCTAGGTTTTCTGCCGGTGATACCCACATTGTTTGATGGATCATAATGAAACTTCATATGCATGTTGGGGCAAGCATTGGCTATCGTGTAGTGCAAGAAAATTGACCGGGTCAGGTCAGGTCACGGAGCTATGACGTCACAAGAGGAACAGTGTCCGGTACTATTTTTGAAAAGCGCCCGAACCACTATTTTGCTAATTCTTGTCACCTCAATGGGAATATGCAGCAATATTAGCTTCTATAGGGAGCAAATGGACCTCCCAAATCCAAAAATACAATCAGATTTCAAAAATTTAAATTTTGATTTTTCGAATTTCTGCCGCCGACTGTGACCTTGCCGACTTCCGGCGCTCCCAACGCGCCATTTTTAGAGCTAGGGAAACGAAATACATACCAAACGATAGAGAATTGATCAAGGAACACGATAGTGAAGGTTTCAAGTCGATATCTTTCACCGTTTTGCCGCAATCGCCGCGGAAAGTTGAAAAAGTTTGATTTTTTTCGGAAAATTTGACCTTTGACCGGTCATAAGTAGGTCAAATGTTGACCTAGGACCAAAAAATATACCACCAATCGCGAGATCTCGTTGAGAGCAATCCGTTGGTTTTTCCGCTAAGCTCTACGACCTTCCGTTTCGAAACGCCAGGGGGGGGAGTCGTAACAACCCCCCCCCCCTGGTCGTTCGTGATATGAGAAATGGCCTGGTCGTGCGAGGGTTAACGATGCTTTTTCTTACAATGTATCACAATTTGAATAAAACATGTGCTGATTCTTTTTCAGGTCATCTACCATCACCACCACCAGCACCACCGGCTCCGGAACCAATCCCGCCACCAGCCTCCGTGAGTACAGACGCAATATCGGCGGGCCGGGCACACTGTCTTCTCCTGTACCGCACGACTCAGTAGTTTGAAATTAAGCCAACAGATGGCTCTGGCATACAGCGCCTGAAGCATGCTGTACCGCACGACTCAGTAGTTTCAGTGTTAGCCAACAGATGGCTCTGGCATACAGCGCCTGTAACATGCTGTACCGCACGACTCAGTAGTTTCAGTGTTAGCCAACAGATGGCTCTGGCATACAGCGCCGTAACATGCTGTACCGCACGACTCAGTAGTTTCAGTGTTAGCCAACAGATGGCTCTGGCATACAGCGCCGTAACATGCTGTACCGCATGACTCAGTAGTTTCAGTGTTAGCCAACAGATGGCTCTGGCATACAGCGCCTGTAACATGCTGTACCGCACGACTCAGTAGTTTCAATGTTAGCCAACAGATGGCTCTGGCATAAGGCGCCTGAAGCATGCTGTACCGCAGGTCTCAGTAGTTTCTTATGTCGACAACAGATGGCTCTGGCATACAGCACCTGAAACATGCTGTACCGCACGACTCAGTAGTTTCAGTGTTAGCCAACAGATGGCTCTGGCATACAGCGCCTGAAGATTGCTGTACCACTCGACTCAGTAGTTTCAGTGTTAGCCAACAGATGGCTCTGGCATACAGCACCTGAAGACTGCTGCGCCGCAGGTCTCAGTAGTTTCTTATGTCGCCAACAGATGGCTCTGGCATACAGCACCTGAAGATTGCTGCACCGCAGGTCTCAGTAGTTTCTTATGTCGCCAACAGATGGCTCTGGCATACAGCACCTGAAGACTGCTGCGCCGCACGACTCAGTAGTTTCTTATGTCGCCAACAGATGGCTCTGGCATACAGCACCTGAAGATTGCTGCGCCGCAGGTCTCAGTAAATACATAGGGAAGACCACCACCAGCCTCTGAGAGCTCGGACGTGATGTCATTGGGCACACTGTCGTCCGTGGCTAGTTTCTAGCAAAGGAACGCTTGACGTTGATAATTGATACACAGACGAAACAAATGGAATAATTTGTTCCGTCATTGTCATGGATACACTTTTTTTAGATTCGATATACGAAACTGTAAATTACGACTCTTCTTTGCTGAGTCCAATAGGCCTCTATCTGTGTGAAATGCACCATGAATTGTTTTCTTTTTTTGGTACAGATTTCACGGTTTCGTTATATGATGTTGAATCTTTTTGTATTGCATATTAGTGTCGGAGCAATTTTGTTCATTTTGCCGTAGACATTGCTACCGCTCTGTCTGTATGATAAGGTGATCGTTTCGTCTGTCATATAGAATGATTTAAAGGTAGACTGCCACCTTTTTTCCACAAAACGGTTTTCACTAGAGCTGAGCCACCTATGTCGGGCAGACTGAAGTCGGTTTTCCGAAATTCGAACCCGTTTGCGAGAAATCGGAGACCAAAGTTCAGTTTGATGCCATTTTTTTAGTCCAAGAAAACGGACATCTCTACTGTTTATCGATAACTTTGAAACATGAATTTTGTTATCTTTTGGTAAATATATGTCAAAACTTTGATTGTTTCGAGATCAGAGAAGAATTTTGAAGTGTCAAAATAAAAGTTAAACTTATATATTGAGTAGTTCATTTTTTCCAAAAAGTGTGGGAAATGGGGTTTAACATGGGCCAGACCCATTCCAAATGAGCCATGATTTTTAAATGTTTTACGAACTTAAATGCAAAATAAATTAAACATGGCCAATTTCTTATGAAATCATATACCTACTAGTAAATCATAAAATACCTTACTTTTTCAAATAAAATGTAATAATCTTATGACCTTGAAGTCTAGTGATGTGTAAACATTGTCGTTAGACATTAACCGATTGATAATTGTATGATAATCGACAATTTTTTTCGCGATTCACGTGATGATACTTTGTCAGGTGAATTCTAAAATTTTGTTTTGTCCAGGAAATAAATCATAGGCCGATCTGAGAAAACTTTTTGAAGGTGGCAGTCTTCCTTTAATGGTTTATATTATTTCAGGTCCGCCATCACCACCGTCACCAGCACCATCACCATCACCAGCACCGCCACCAGCACCACCGGCTCCGGGACCAGGCCCGCCACCAGCCTCCGTGAGTGTGTGATTTTTTTATTGAAACCTGAAAACGTAAAACATGTTCTTCTCGCTATGTTACATAAGATATTCTTTTCGGTAATTTCTTCTTCATAATCAGATCATGGAAGAATATGTGTATAATAAAATAAACGCTGTAATAATAAAATATAATAATAAAACGCTGGAAACGGATTCCGTGCCGATTTTGTTGACCGTAGGAGTGGTTGAGAGGTGAATCCACCGTATTTTATAACAGTTTCATCGGTTTGTGGTTAATTTGTATTTCTTCCATTTCAGATCATCTACCATCACCACCACCAGCATCACCGCCTCAGCACCAAGCCCGCCACCACCAGCACCACCGGCCTCAGCACCAAGCCCGTCACCAGCGTCCGTAAGTATCTTATCATCAATTGACCATAAAAGCGTAGATGTTTTATTTTGGTCATGCCCAAAATTTCAACAATCAATCAATCAATCATTTTGGTCGTATGTTCGAGACATATTGATATAGTTTGCTTTTTTATCACCATACCTATAATTTGTATCGATAGGCCATACTTTGAATTGTAACGAATATTCAATCAGGAATGATAATGAGCGCAAAACGTGTTAAGAAAAAAAAATAACTCCATATTTTTTGACAAAAAATTACAATTAAAACTCAACATGTGCTGATTCTCTTTCAGGTCATCTACCAGCACCACCACCAGCACCACCGGCCTCAGCACTAAGCCCGCCACCAGTCTCCGTGAGTACAGACGCGATATCGGCGGGCAAACTGTCGCGCGCTGTAGGTACTCGTCTATAGGAAATAAAATATTTGGCAATTGTAATGAATGTTGATAGAATACAAGTTTTATCTTAGATGATTTTTTTTTTTAACTGCGAGACGCTCAGTTCTGACTTCTCATTTTGTTTTAAATGACCGTGTTTCTGTGTCAAATAACCACTATTATCTTTTTTTTCTTACAATATTTTTATCAAAATATAAAGAGAAATTTATACAGTATACCTAGGCCTATGTACCGTCAAAACAGTTTTCGTCATATGTTATAGCAGTTTTAGATTAGCAGTTTTGCTATATCTGTATTGTATGCGGCGCTAATTGATCTATGCATACCTAATAATTAAAACGTTTGTATTATTTCAGGTCCGACATCGTCACCATCACCAGCACCAGCACCACCGGCCTCACCACCAAGCCCGCCAACAGCAGGTAGGTACGGCTTCACAAATCCTCACGGGTATAATTGTCTGTAGAGCACGCATTCTTTTGTAAATTAATTCTTAATACATTTCGCCTATGAAGAGGAAGGTATAAAAACAAGTTTTTTCAGTAACTTTCTCCTTTGTGTTGTTAACTTTGTATTTTTCAAATCACGGTATAATAGCCGTTTTCACGACGGGCTATCCGGCGAATGCACCTGATTTGACCATATCTGCACCTAATCTCTTTTACAGCAAACATCTTCATTTCATGAATTTATTTCAGTGTTTTAATCGACGATACTCTCTGCTAATATGACAAAACAAGCAAATAAGCACTTAGCGTAGGTAACCCTAGCTGATAGCTACTAAGAGATACACTGAACCTAATTTGACCAAAGCTGAACCTAATCTGCACCAGATGTGCACCAAATGTGTACCAGATGGCCGTCGTGAAAACTGCTAATATCAATTGTTTGTTTGTTTGTTTGTCTATTTATTTGTTTTGTTAGCAGGCTCGTTACAACGAAACAAACACATCCTCACAAATGTTTTGCTGTTACATCAAAACTGAGGTCTATTATCTCCAGACTGTTAAGTTTTCTACAGAACCTCAGCAAATAGAAATAAAGATATGATCAAGTATTGCTGAAAATTACCATTTATTTTAGGTCCACCATCACCACCAGCCATCACCAGCACCAGCACCAGCACCACCGGCTCCGGAATCACCACCACCAGCCTCCGTGAGTGTTTTAGTATTGTACTGACAGTGAACAGACACGCATGAATTGTGTATGTGTTATCAATACATTGATAAAGGATTTGATAGTAATCTCAAACAGCTTTGTGTATACTTAGTGTTAATTTACATCTACCTTCATCTTAGAAATATTGTGAGGAATCTTGCAAGCGATATACCTAGGCCAGTCGTCATGTCGTCAAAGAAAAAAACTACGAGTTACGATGTATACCTACAAATGATGTAAGTGCTAAATATTTATCTATTTCAGATCCCCTGCCAGCATTGGCAGCACCGCCACCAGCACCTCCGGCCTCAGGACCAAGCCCACCTCCAGCGGGCGTGAGTTCACCAGCGGAATTAGCTTATTGATTTTACCAATTGTCCGGTTATCGTGTCCTGTTTCCGTGTCCCGTTTCAGTTTTGTGCTTTATCAAGTCCACCTTACCTTTATTCTAAATAATTTCGACTACATGAATCTAAAAACACCATACATAAATCTACTGGAGTAATCACCTGTCGTCCTGTCCATTTACTACACTGGCAGGTTGACGGAGGCGGGTGTGCGGCTCTGGCGCAGCTGAGCCGTCGACCGCCGGAGCCAATCCGGCAGTCCGGCATTTCAGCTGCCGCACACTCGCCCGTCACAGGATCAGAGGCCTCCCGAGACAGGTTAGTTTGGTGGGTGATTTTTGCATGATGCATACCTGTTTATGTTCCAACGTTTGTGAATATACTTGGTACGAGGCGATTTGTAGTTAGCAGCATTCACAAATGACACCGGACCCATAATTATTGCATTTTCAGCCCCGTGATGACGCGTTTTCCTTCCGCTGTTGGCGTCGCCAGCTCCCCGCGCGGCCAGCTGTCTCCATGACGGTGACCAGAGCCCGGGGACAGACGCTCGGTCGGGTGTCCGTCTCTCTGAAGGAGCCAGTGTTCAGCCACGGGTAAACAGCTGTACGTGGGCCAACAAATGGAAAACTGACATGTGCACATGTGATCGGAGCTGGATTGGGTGACCTTCCCAGCTCGAGCATACATTATGATTTATCAGAATGTAAACCAATCTATTCAATGACATATTATGGAAAAATATATGATAAAACGCCAGTCGCTGTACGACAGTGCCCTGACTTACCGGTACATTTTCAGCCATCACGATCAGCTGGTGTAGGCCATCCACGACAGATGAGTGCTATACAAGCCTGCCTCCGCCGTGCTTGGAGAGCTGTCTCACCCAACGGCCGTTTGTGCCGCCACCAATCGGCTGCGAGTAGCACACACCGAGTGCTACTCGGGGCCGGATGGCTGCCGTGTCTTCCCTCAGGAAATGGTGGGCTCTGCACTACCTGAGGGGTCTCGGGCGATAACAGAGACGCAGTCCGATGTGGCAGCCTCCACGTGGCGGATTGCGGGTCATGCTAATAGCCACACAGAGCCACACGTAAGTATTGCACTGTAGTATTCACCAGATTTGAGTGTGTTGCAGGAGCCTGACATGTGACGTCACCTGTACCGCTGTTTCCGCTTCTAATGACGACGTGGTCAGGTGTCGGCTCTGCTGCAGTGTCCAGAGGACGCACGGGTTCTCCGACATCATCATCTTGGTCGCGGTGGCGACTGTATCCGCCAGTGGGGGTGGTATTCAGGAGATCACTAACCTCTCGTCCTATTCTCCTCTCCATGCGGTGTACTCGACAACCACAGGTTCCGGACCAGACCGGTAGGCGGCGCTAGTGTCGCTGACGTGCTCTGTCTGCGGCTCTGTGCTCCCCTCCTCTGCCCGCTGCTCCTGTTGCTCTACCCAGACCTCACAGGTGGGTCCCCCTCTTCTGGTGGTGTCTACTACACACATTGTCAGATGGCCGGTACAGTGATAAGTAATGGACAGTGCACAGTGGACCGTGGTGCAATATATATTGACGATAAACCAGTCTGTGTTGTTTGTCACGCCGATGTTGTTTACTATTTATGGCGACTCCGTTTGCTGTGTAGTGTGTGTGTCACACATATCATCTATGGTGTTTGTTGTGTGTTTGTTGTGACTCTGTTGTGTTTGTTGTCTGTTACAGGTCCGGCCCGTACCGACATTGACTCACGACGAGTCTACTGAGTCATACAGAGTCATGGGGAGTCATCCAGAGTCAACGGATTTCATGGGAGTGAACATAGGTGTCGAGGAGTCCTCCGGAGTCAGCGAAGTCATTCAGAGTCTATAATAGAGTCCTGGGAGTGAAAATGAGCTGTGTTAGCGGGTTAAGACGCTGTTTATACGTATCCCGGCTAGGCGGGCCGTCGCTCGGTGCCCGGCGGTCGGTGCGCCGCGCCGCCCGCCCATGTGTCACGGCTGGCCGGCTGTGCGGGTGTCTCCTGTCCGCCGGCCCGGTGATCGGTCCGTACCACGAGGGCTGAGAGGGGACGGGCCCCGCGGCGGTCAGCAGCAGCTCAGAGAGGCCTCGGCCGGTCAGCCGACGGTCAGCGGTGTGTGTCCGACGGGTCCGACGGCGGCCTTACAGACGTGAGAACGGACCCGAGCAGCCGAGCTGAGGGCCAGCTGCCCATTCTGATCGGCGTGTCCTACACTTGTCAGACACTGCAGCCTATACTGATCTTGAATACACTTTGTATATGTGAAGGATAACTTTATATGGTCCTCGGGTGACGAACGAGTACGAGTGAACGAGTACGAATACGAGCCAACAAGCTCTGAAGAGTCATTGGGAGTCAACAGAGTCGTCAGAGTGACCCGGAGTCAACGGACTCATCACGTGTCCTGGGGAGTCATCCGGAGTCAGCCGAGTGATGGGTGAGTCAGCCGAGTCCCTCTGACTCCGAGTCACCCCCTGAGTAGGAGCGAGTCGGTGGTGGGGATGGCTGAGTCAAAGATGGCGCCGATTGGTGACGGCGCGCGGTGCCCGCTGGTGACGGCTGTGGTGACGTCACTGTGACGTGTGTGTGTGTCTGTGTGTGACGTCACAGTGACGTCACAGAGGTGTGACGTTACATGTCGCCCCTTCTCCAGCGGCTGCCCCGGCAGTGGCCGATAAAACTTCCAACGTGCCAACGCTCGTTGGAGCAAGATATTAGCAATACTTGGAAGAGCTGGAGACAGTCCGCCCGTCTACATGGATGCTTCCTTACGCCTTATTGACTTATGACTTACTAATCGTCCGGTGCTGTTATCGGCTGCTCGGTACCGCGTGTATGTTCCCTCATTCACTCCTGGTCACCCTTCGGTCACCCCTCGCTGGGTCGGGCCAGTCGGCTATTTTTATCCTCTTTCCGGCTAGGCCACCCGCTGAGCTCTCGCCGTGCCGCGCCGTCTGCGAGGGACCTGACCCTTCTGCCGGCAGAGGTTTCTCCAGGTGTCTCCAAGGAGCCATCGTAGCGCTAAGGGTGTGCTCCGCATACACATACATTGATTTTCGCCCTTACTAGCAGGGCCGCTGGCACGCGTTGGCAGCGCCCTGCGAGCATTTTTTCGCTTAGGGTCATTTTGTGGTGAGGAGGATCAGAAAATCACCCTTCCAACTTTCTCCAGGCCTGGGTGTTTTATCGAGCGCGCCTGAAAACGCACAGTGGACCGAAATCACACTTCGATTGCGTTACTTCGTATTAGGTAATACGATAAAAAGTCCGCTCTTTTCTTAATCAATAAGGACAAGCGCGTTAAAGCACACATATAAACTTTTAAATTAAAAGCTTTAAAATGCTAAATTTCAACATCTCTAAGCTGATGATAATCGTTAGTTGTTTCAGACTTTGGCGCGAAAACGTAGGCATTCAGATCCACCGTGCGACCGGTCACCGTACCTAGGCAGTAGTGTGATGGTGTGAGTTGGGGAATCAAGGCCGTATGGGGAGAAGGTGAGGAGATACCGGTGTGCCGACGCGGCGGATGGCAGTGAATTTTCAGGATAGGTAGCAAAAGGCTCATTCCCAGACGTTGTGCCAAATTTTGCGGCGCTACGCGACGCCAACTTTTACGCTATTCGCGAAAAAAAAAACTTAGGGAAGCTGCCCCCCCCCCCCCCGCTAGGCGAGGGCTAAGCTGGAGACAGTGATGGGACTAAGATGTTCGTTGGAGCAACTCCAAGCATTTTATCGACCTCTGTGCCCCGGTACAGAGTCTCTCCAAAAAGGAAGGCCGTCCGAGCCACAACAACTTCTACCGTGTCCATTCTCCTTTCTCATTGTTGCTTCGAAATTCGTCTCGTTGGTTTTCTTATGCACGCAAATATTTCAATTACATTGAATTTGGGTTGGCTACGTCTACGTGAATTGTAGGTATAGCAATATCCATTAGCTGTTCCAGAGACACCGGGGACAAAACGTGGCAAGAAGGTGATAACTCAGAGCCGGCCGGAATTTCCATAGAGACGATTCTCTGTGACGTTTGCCACTAAACTAGACCTTACTGCTGTCTCCAGAGACACAAAGTTTCACTAGTACGCTAAGACAAATCCTGCGCACTAGTGACAGCACAGCGCAGCTTCTGAACACACCCTTGGGATATGCGTAGTGTGTTTGAAGCGACGGCAAAAGGCAATTGAAGCTACAAGGTACTAGAGTAAGTGGGGGAGTTTGACGAGCAAAAGTATATTATCGGTCCGGTCAGCCGGGCAACTTTTCCGATTTCCGACATTGACAGGTCAGCCTCCAGCCGACATTGACAGGTGAGCCGGCTCCAGCCGACATTGACAGGTCAGCCGGGCCGGCTCCAGCCGACATTGACAGGTCAGCCGGCTCCAGCCGACATTGACAGGTCAGTCTCCGGCCGACATTGACAGGTCAGCCGGGCCGGCTCCAGCCGACATTGACAGGTCAGTCTCCGGCCGACATTGACAGGTCAGTCTCCAGCCGACATTGACAGGTCAGCCGGGCCGTCCAGCCGACATTGACAGGTCAGTCTCCAGCCGACATTGACAGGTGAGCCGGCTCCAGCCGACATTGACAGGTCAGCCTCCAGCCGACATTGACAGGTCAGTCTCCGGCCGACATTGACAGGTCAGCCGGGCCGGCTCCAGCCGACATTGACAGGTCAGCCGGCTCCAGCCGACATTGACAGGTCAGCCGGGCCGGCTCCAGCCGACATTGACAGGTTAGTCTCCGGCCGACATTGACAGGCCAGCCGTCTCCGGCCGACCCCGGTCAGCCGGCGGTGTATTCAGAGGTAGGGGGATCACCACATGCCACAAACAGTCATCTGCACCGTGAGACTGTGCCTGTAGCCGGTCAGTCTGTCTATGGGGATGCCCGTTCAGTATACGGGGACACACCGTGAGCCGGCCGGTCACCGTCTCACCAGGACAGAGTCACAGCACCGGGACGGACGGGCTGCACTGATAGCGCTGCTCCAAACCGCCGCCACCACACAGGAACGGTGACCGCGCCGCTGCAGCTGAGGCCGGACAGGAAGGACGTCAGATAGCCGGGACAGTACCACAGAGTCCCAGAGCCGCAGGCAGGATGGTGTGGTGAAACCGCCGGCGGCCCTGGAAGGGGGGACGGGGCGGAACAGCAATCTGGTCGGGAACTGCGCAGTTCACAAACGGCGCCGTTGGGTCCGGGTCAGGTCACTGTGAAGGTCGGTGGGTCCGGGTCAGATCACTGTAGAGGTCGGTGGGTCTGGGTGAGGTCACTGGAGAGGTCGGTGGGTCCGGGTCAGATCACTGTAGAGGTCGGTGGGTCTGGGTCAGGTCACTTGAGAGGTCGGTGGGTCTGGGTCAGGTCACTGGAGAGGTTGGTTGGTCTGGGTCAGGTCACTGGAGAGGTCGGTGGGTCTGGGTCAGGTCACTGTAAAGGTCGGTGGGTCCGGGTCAGGTCACTGTAGAGGTCGGTGGGTCGGCTCATGTCTGGTCTCAGCCCCCCCCCCCCCCGTGCCGCACACGGCGGTACCTTGCCGTCGCGCGGTGTCCCGTCTCTCCCCGCCCCCCGGCCCGCCGCCCCCTCTCGACGGTATCGACGCGTCGCACGCGATACGGCTGACCAGACGGCGGTAGCGCGGCTCGGCGGCGGTGATCGGCGCCGGGCCGGCACCCGAGCGGCGGCCCAGCGGCTCAGCCCAACAGAGTGGGCCCGGCAGCCGCTCCCCAGAGCCACCGTGACGTCATCACGGCGTCCAGGCCGTGTGCGCTCTCACGAATCTCGGCAGTGAGACTGCGCTACCGAAGACTCGGAGAGTGACAATGCACCGGTAACTTATATACCGTGGGTAACTTGTACCGCCCTGTTGGTGACGAATACTCTCTACTCGCAACGATTTGGCACTTAGTACCTAACTATATAGTCGCTCAATCGCTGTGAGTTATAATGGCAGCGTACTCTTATTTTCTTTTCGAAGAAAGCAAGCCAACTGAGCAATGAGCATATCACATTTAAAAAGGTTTTTTCAACACCGGATTCGAGTCGCCAATAATGCGTAATTGGCGATCGATAAACGGTTGTTTGTTTACAACAGCTGCCTCAAAAGGTCAGCAGCATGTGCTGTTTTATGGCGACACTTTGTGTCTGATATCTGGCGGCTGTGGACACTGGCTGTGACACCACAAACTCGGCACGCAGTAATCTAGCCCGGCGGCCGCACGGTCTCCGCGGCCGACCCGCCGGCCGAGAGAGAAGAGGGGGGGGCAGGGGGGGGGGGGGTTCTTTGACGATAGCGTCCCAATGCGAAGAGATATACCCGTAGAAGCAAAGCCTTGCACACATATTCCTGTACAGCTATTCGAAGTCGTGTTCGCTAATTTGGTGTCGATTCCATTTGAAATGACGTCAAAGTGACGTCATCAGTCAAATTATATATCGGTGTTTCTTAGTTCACCAACGATGTATCCGATATGGGGCCGAATGGTGAATATACAGGACTGATGAATGGTCAGGAAGTATAGTTGTAAGTGTAGGTACTAGATGTGTCAGGATGACAGCAGGTGCTGTTTAGTACATTTACCGTTGCGGGTCATGCTCAGTGACACCAGACACGCTCCATATCGGAAAACGACCAAAGTTTATGACGTCTCTCTGGTGCTATCCTCAAAGCTCCAAACCGCCGCCACCACGCAGGAACGGTGACCGCGCCGCTGCAGCTGCGGCTGACAGGAAGGACGGCAGATAGCCGGGCTAACACCACAGAGTCCCAGAGCCGCAGGCAGGATGGTGTGGTGGACCCGACGACGGTCCGGGGAGGGGGGCGGGACGGAACAGCTATCTGGTCGGCCGAACGGCGCAGTTTGGAGTGGGCGTCGGTTGGTCCGGGTGAGGTCACTGTAGAGGTCGATGGGTCCGGGTCAGGTCACTGGAGAGGTCGGTGGGTCCGGGTCAGGTCACTGGAGAGGTCGGTGGGTCTGGGTCAGGTCACTGGAGAGGCCGGTGGGTCCGGGTCAGGTCACTGGAGAGGTCGGTGGGTCCGGGTCAGGTCACTGTAGAGGTCGGTGGGTCGGCTCATGTCTGGTCTCAGCCCCCCCCCCCCGTGCCGCACACGGCGGTACCTTGCCTTCGCGCGGTGTCTCGTCTCTCCCCGCCCCCCGGGCCCGCCGCCCCCTCTCGACGGTAGCGACGCGTCGCACGCCACACGGCTGACCAGACGGCGGTAGGGCGGCTCGGCGGCGGTGATCGGCGCCAGGCCGGCACCCGAGCGGC